TTCAGAAACATAACCATAGAACATTAACATTTTCCCGCTTGTTTCTTTTTTTGGACTGAACCTTTTTGTGTCTATTCAAAAACACATTTCGGCGTGGATTTTTCAGAAGAAGAAAACGTTGATCAAAGTCACAAAAATTGTACATTTTCTGTTTCCAAGGATACTGCAGTTTTTGAAGTCATCATACTTTGGTGGCTATTTTCTCGATACTTTTACCCCTAACATCAGGCGACCCCTCCTCTTTCAATCGCGAATATCTCGACTGTTATTCATTATGAATGAATTTTTTTCACCAAAAGAAATACCAATAAACAGGCTTTAGTATTATAACAATAAATCCATATGCCCCAAAATAACGTCCGCAGGATTCCACCGCGACGTGACACATATTATATATAACATCACGGACAGCTAGGCAGGACTGCAGCCTGGTTAAAGGTAGAGGGGCAGGGGAGTGGGTGGGGGAGCGATGAGTTGAGTGAGGACAGTGGTCGAAACTGGATTCAATGACTTATTTCCGTCAGAATTCTCCAATAGTTTGTCTTCATAAACTCTTGTCACAGATTCCAATCTTTCGTGTGGCAGAAGATGGATGTAAGTAACACTGTATTTGAATCCCATCGGAATAAGCTAATTATGTACCCATACAAACTTCAAGGATATAACATACCGTACATAGCATTTACATTTTATTATATATATGGCAAGTATTTCTCTGTCATTCTCTGCCTGTCTGTATTGTTGTTTGCTTCTCTTTCTATATGGCTCTCTCTCTCTCTCTCTCTCTCTCTCTCTCTCTCTCTCTCTCTCTCTCTCTCTCTCTCTCTCTCTCTCTCTTTCTCGCTCGCTCTGCCCCCTTTCTCTCTCTTCATCCCTTTCTGCCTCCCACCTGCCTCCATTCCTCCCTCCCTCCTTATCTATCTATCTATCTATCTATGCATTTGTCTATCTATCTATCTATCTATCTATCTATCTATCTATCTATCTATCTATCTATCTATCTATCTATCTATCTATCTGTATCTCTCTTTCCGACACCCATTCACATACCGCCATCAATGAAAAAAAAACGTAAAGGGTCTTTTTTGTTCTCTCCGAAGGTACCAATTCATTGTGACTGTGAATCACTTTGAGCTTACAGTAAACCCATTTCGATTAGCAATATTATTTTGTGATACTTCGTAATACAGTCCACTAAACGACAACTTGCGAAAAAACATAAATACCGACATAACGGATTAAGAATTTTCTTATTTTTAATGCGTTGTTGTTTTATCGTCTGTTTTAATGCTAGGGCCCTCTCTCAATACACCACATCTGTACAGGCTACCCTGAAGGTTAACTACTTAATGATAATCGCTTTTTAAATTTTTGTTTTTGTTTTTGTTTTTTGTTGTTACATTCCCATTTTTATGATATTGGCGCTATCTGCTTAGTAGAGAAAGGTAGCCTAATTGTGATAGTGTCCAGCAGTGTAATACGTACATACTGGTTATGACAAGAAGCTGTTACAGATAGAGATTCAATGAATACAGATGTATTTCAAAGCTCTGAGAGCAATAGTGATTTTAGATATGATGCTGGTGATGATAATCGCTTCCATTCTCTTCCAGGATTCATCAACTCCATCCTGTCGTGGGAAGGTTTCCTCCCTCTGTCCCGTCTCAGCTATGGCGCCTACCTCGTCCATTTGACACTTATCAGCTTCGAAATTCAAGCTCGCCAGGACAACACTATTTTCACTATAGACATCCTGGTATGGAGAGGCACAGAGAGCAAGAGAGAGAGAGGGAGAGAGAGAGAGAGAGAGAGAGAGAGAGAGAGAGAGAGAGAGAGAGAGAGAGAGAGAGAGAGAGAAGGGGGACGGAGGGAGGAAAAGTGGCAGACAGACAGACAGACTGACAGACAGACAGACAGACAGACAGACAGACAGACAGACAGACAGACAGACAGACAGACAGACAGACAGAAGGACAGACAGAAGGACAGACAGAGACAGAAACGGACAGAAATCACAAGAAGAAGAAGAAGAAGAAGAAGAAGAAGAAGAAGAAGAAGAAGAAGAAGAAGAAGAAGAAGAAGAAGAAGAAGAAGAAGAAGAAGAAGAAGAAGAAGAAGAATGATACTAATTTTAATATAGATCTAATAATGATAATGGTAATATTAATAATATATTTACAAAGCATTTTACCCCGATAAAAGACCACAGGTTCTCATCCGATTTGCAAACACAATAACAACACATAAATATTGCATAGGGGTCTTTCTTTTAGACAAAAATATTGATAGATAGATAGATAGATAGATAGATAGATAGATAGATAGATAGATAGATAGATAGATAGATAGATAGATAGATAGATAGAAAGGTATTAGGAATCTGAAAACGGAATTACTTTAGCAGCCTTTTAAACGAATAAATTCATTTGATATTTCTTGAACTAATGGGCAAAGCATTCAAATGCCCTTTCGTCCATTGCTTTAGTTTCGTAGCTGGTAAAACTAATTTCTATGTACCAGCTAACGACTTTAAACCTTGAGATGGAATATACAGATTCAACAGAATTGATACACAATTAGCTGGTGCATTATCATTCAACAATTCGTGGCATAAAATAAAGAGTTTAAGATGTGTGTTTTTATTACCGTATTTCTGTGTAATTTGTTATGCACTTGTGTTGCTGATATTGTTCTTTTTCTTTTTTGAGGGTACTATTTTGCATACGTGTTATAGCAATTACGTTCACGTCGTATATAATGTATATTGTACATAATGTATGTATGTATGTGTGTTTGTGTGGGGGGGGGAGTTGTGGGAGGTGGGTGGGTGGGTGTGCGGGTGTGTGTGTGTGTGTTTATACAGACTTCAACATAAGTTAAGGACCACTTTGACAGACAACCCTGATTTTTTTTAAATTCCGAAAAAAAGACAGTAAGGAATGTTCCAAACGTTTTGCTCTGAAAGTGTTAATGGGTTACCAAGGCGTACTGCAAAGCTACCTAAAGGGGAAAAACCACCACGTGCAGCACATAAATCCTCAGGGAATTTTAACCAAATTTTCTGCTTTTTGTCGACTTGTGTGCGACACCACGGACATTCCTCATTAAAATTTCTGGTGCACGTCATAAACTGACGCACGGTCTCAAATTATGCTCACTTTGGTGGCAGTATAAGCCGCCGTTTGCCCAAACTCCAGTATCGCATCAACATGCCACCAAGGCGAAAGCTGAGAGACTTTGATCGTGCCAGAGCTATGGCATGGCTGCTGCCTGCAGCATGTAGTTGAAGCCCAAGAAGTTGCCAGAAGGCTTGCAGTGTTACACTCTGTCAATGCCCGCTTGAGGCAGCGCCATCAAGAATCTGGATCAGTCCAAGAACGCCCACGTGCATGTCGATCCAAGACGACCACTCAGAGTGTTTGCAAGTGATCCTTGACTTATGTTGAAGTCTGCATATTAATACGAAACACTGATCTACAAGTATTTTTGTCGTTCCTAACTTTATCTATGATCTACACTTGATTCCAGATCTACCAGTTCTTTGGTTACTACGTGATGGCGTACGCTGTGGGCTTCCTCCTGTCTGTGTTTGTGGAAATGCCTCTGTTGGGTCTAGAGAGAGCAGTTCTTAAACGTTAGAAGGCTCAAGGTCCGACAGAACAAGAACACGATATTAGGATGTTCGTACCTTTCATAGGAGCGTGTGCACAGGACACAGGCACACATGCACACTCACACATACATACACACACACACAGACATACACACACACACACACACACACACACACACACACACACACACACACACACAAGTTTATTCTCCTTGGAGTCTACGCTGGTGCGGGGTTTTTTTTATCACAAGAGTGTTTCTGTTGTTCTTGTAAATGTTGGTGATTTTGAGGCGGTTATTTTTGACTTAATACACTCATATATTTCTTTGTTATTTGTGCGAGTCGTATTGCGATTATTGCTTTTGTTATCATTGTTGCTATACACACAAACACACACACACACACACGCACACACACACACACACATACATACACACACACACACAAACACACACACACACACACACACACACACACACACACACACATATACACACACGCTTGCGTGCGCGCGAGCACACCTGTAAACACCTTTAGCACACACAAACACGAACACTATAACACACACACATGCACCCACACACAGGTGTAAAATATGTAGTGGGTGGTTGGCGGGTTCTGTGGTATGGTCTGCTCCTTCTTTCCTTTCAAACATCTATTGTCTGTATCTCATCTCCTCCTTCATGTTTGTTACTTCCTTGAAATGCCTCTAATCTTCGACATTTATATCACCTAATTGTGTTGCAAGTGCAGCAATATGCTTACTAAAGTAATGAGATGCAATGTATTATCTATATTATGAAAAGTAAAGATAATTCGCTTGTATATGAGATACATTCATCTAAAGTGTATCCTAGAAGCCCAAACAACCAAACTGACACCATTACTCTTACTTTCACTGAAGAATACTGTTGTGAAGCATAATAATATTTTAGCTTCGGGTAACGTGAAAATTAAGGTTGCATGAATGGAATTTTGGGAAAAACAGACTAGTCATGATAAATATAATTTACTTTCCCCTTATTTTTATCGTCGTTATAGAATGGCGCAGAGTGGAGGGGTGGTGGTAATAGTCGTGAGTAGATTTTTTTTTCTTCGGTAGGGAGAATAAACTTTATTAAATAATGAAACTACTTGATACCTACTCGTCATAATATCTTTTTCACATGCAATAAGTGCTTGATTATTAACTAGCTTTTTGTTTGTCTGTCTGTTTTGTTTTGTTTTGATTTTGGTTGTGATGATAAAGTTGCTTTTCTCAATTAATTGCTGCCCCGTGTACTTTCGGTTTTGGTATTGCTCAGTCGGATTGATGTATTTTTAGTTGTGCTTCTTGTCAAATAATAAAGTAATAAAGACGGTTATAGACATGTTCTTGAGAGAGTTATCGCTCTCGAAAAAGGACGGTTCAAGCAGTAACGAGAAAATAAGGCAGAAAATCTCTGAAGTGTTAAGAACGTTCGATATTATTGAATATACATTAAATATATTTTTTTTCTTAAGAATGCAGTTAATGTTGCAACTAATAACATTAATGAAGTTTGTGCGTCTGTTGTTGTTGCTGCTGCTGCTGCTGCTGCTGCTCCAACTGCTGATGTTGCTGCTGCTTGTGATGATGATGATGATGATGATGATGATGATGATGATGATGATGATGATAATGACTGAAATACTTACACTTGGTCCCTGTCACAATGGATTTCCCCCGCTTTTTCCCTATCATCTCTCTCTCTCTCTCTCTCTCTCTCTCTCTCT